GTTTTGATATACACACACATTGTGAAATGATCACTATAATTTATCTAATTAACACACCAAGCACATTTTTACTTGAAAAATTATACATGTTTCTGAGGAAAGAATATTTTAAGAAAGTCTGAAAGCTCCTCTATTAACTTTTCGTTATACACTGCCAACCTCATCCTGACCTTAAGTTGGCATGATACATCTTGGTGATCTTTTTCTGACTACAGAATATTTGCCCATTATACAGTATATGGAAAATAGAAAATATTCTACCAATACCCCCAAACCTCTTGGATCCTACTATAAAAAATAATCACTGCTAATATCTGGCATATTTTCTTCCAGTATTTTCTCAATGTGTAAGTCTTTTTTATATAACTGGTAAGAGTGTTCTACATTCCTTCATTTTCATATACTTCATCTCACATTTAACAGTATTTTGTGACCATTTGCTGCTAGATTTTAATAAAAATTCTTCAAAAATACTGCATTTGATGGCAGCATCATGCTCCAATGCATAGATGTAATATAATTATCTATTTTCCTATAGTTAAATGTTTAGATTGTTTCTACTTTTTCTCTATTCTACCTAGCGCTGTGGTAAGTATCCATTTATATAAACATTATCTCAGTCTTTAGGGACATTATTTCCTCACACTAGATATTTTGATATAGGATTACTGGGTCAAAAGTTCTGAACATTTTTTTTTTAAGATTTTATTTATTATTTATTAGAGAACAAGCGAGAGAGAGAAACAGAATGAGAGGAGAGGGTCAGAGGGAGAAGCAGGCTACCCGCTGAGCTGGGAGCCCGATGTGGGACTCGATCCCAGGACTCCAGGATCATGACCTGAGCCGAAGGCAGTCGCTTAACCAATTGAGCCACCCAGGCACCCCTGAACATTTTTAAAATTCTTGATACATTATGCCAGTTTGTGCTTTCCAGAAACGTTGACCAGTTTACATTCCTTTCGGCAATGTGTTCAACCTCAATTTTACTCTAGTAAAAATTAAATGCTACTTTGATAATAATTATTTTAATCTGCATTTCTTTGATTACTGGTTGACATTTCCTATTATATGTTTTTCTATAAATTATGATTATATTATTTCCCCATTTTTCTATTAGTATTTTTATTGCTGATTTATAAAAGCTCACTATACATCAAGGATATTAACTTTTATGCTGTTGGTTTGTTTCACATTATGATAAATGTTTATAATGTGTCACTGATTAAAATTATCAAAAAGAATTTTGAAAATATATAAAAATATATCAGAGAACAAAGATTATCCATGATCCTATTAACTGGTGATGGTTGAACACTTTGATGTACTTTTTTATTTTCTGTGTGTGTGTTTTATTTATTTAAGATTTTATTAATTTATTTGACAGACAGAGAGAGAGTACGAGCAGGGGGAGTGGCAGAGGGAGAGGGAGAAGCAGGCTCCCTGCTGAGCAGGGAGCCCGATGTGGGGCTCGATCCTAGGACCCCGAGATCATGACCTGAGCCGAAGGCAGACGCTTAACTGACCAAGCCACCCAGGCACCTCTTTGATGTGCTTTCTGTCTCTTTTTCTGTGTTTGTAAACATTTAAAAAATAAAATTGGAATCATACTGTGTTCTGTATTGCTCATTTTGCCATAAGCATCTCCTCATGACATTAAATATTCTTTTACAACATTAACAGCTTTGTGATATTTCACTGTATATGTACCATAATTTATTTAAACGTTCCTCCTTTTTAACAGTATTTATTATTTCCAAGTATTTGCTATTATGACTCACCCTGCCATGAGCAATCTCATACATTTGATACAACTGTGATACTACAGTTAACAGGAGGCTCATCCCCACGTCTCCCGCACAGGCTGTGGAACAGAATACCATACCTACCTGTTACTTGAGTAGGTGCAATCACTTGGCTGGCACTTGATGTAGAAGCTTCAGGAGCTACTTCCACAGGCACAGGAGGTGATGTTTTTTCAATCACTACTATATGAGGAAAGAGGGGATGAAAAAAATTAAAGCCTGTTAGGTGCTTTGAGATCCCATCCCAAAATGCAAGCATAATTTAATTCTAATAACATACCACAGTCGTGCTTGGGTAATTAAGGACTCTTAGAGATCCCTAAAGTTCCTGGTATTAATCTATAGCCTCAGTTTCAACATTTAGTAAGAAAATATGAAAACAATTCAGAAGTCAAGAAAAATGACGCTTCATCAAATGATGACCTTCAAAACCGTTCTAATAATATATACATACTCCTGGCCACAGAAAATCGTGAGAAACTTACCTTCCTTTTAGCCTTCTAAAACTTACATGACCATCCCCACACTAACATTACAAGTACATTAATACACTTAAGTGTATGTTTCACATGGCACTTCACATATGAATTCTAATGATTTAACAAACTTTAAAATCAAAGACAAAAGAATCCTTATCTTACTCTTTTACTCATTGATAATACTCTTACAAATAGCATAGATCAACAGAGGTTACCTGGAAACTGTGGGTGCAGATGAATAGTTGAGATGCCTGGAGAGAGCTGGGGTTGACCAGGCTCAACTCTGGTTTTCTCTTGATCCAATGAAGGTATTTCCTGGGTGGTTGTATTAAAAAGAAAAAAAGAGAGAGAGAACTGAAAGTAGGAATTATCTTTAATGTTCACATATTACTATCTTTATTTAATTCTACTCTTAGAAAGGCAACAAATATCAGAGGACATTGGACAACAACCTGTGCAATCGTGTGGGGAAAAAAAAATACATATATGAAGGGTTGCTGAGCCACTTTTTTTTTTTTTAAAGATTTTATTTATTTGACAGAGAGAGGCACAGGGAGAGAGGGAACACAAGCAGGGTGAGCGGGAGAGGGAGAAGCAGGCTTCCCGCCGAGCAGGGAGCCCGATGCGGGGCTCGATCCCAGGACCCTGGGATCATGACCTGAGCCGAAGGCAGACGCTTAACGACTGAGCCACCCAGGCGCCCCTGAGCCACTTTTGTAGCAAGCCTTTGATTCCCCCAGCAGCGCTGACCCACGTACACACCCTCACCCATGTCCCAGGGGCCCAAAGCAAAAGGTCCCTTCAGACACTGTAAACAAATGCGTTGGCTCAGGGGCCGACATCTGGTCTCAAACAAGGCAAAACTAACCCCAACGGAGAACTAAACTGTCCTCTCCTGGACACGGTGCTCTGCCCTAGGAAGGTGACCAGCCACACTTTGCAGAATAACTAATGGGTACAGCACATGTGTCATAACCAAGAACATACAGGACATTAAAATATTTTAAGCCAGGCAGTCATTAAGGCCTTTCTGAACCTCCCATCCAGGAACTTTGTACCTCCAGCTCTCAGCACAGGGGTAGTCAAGCACAGCAACAAAAACACAGGGGCTTGGAGAAGCACCCAGGGCTTCCTCACGCGCTCGGTTGCCCCCTCCTGCCCCCGGACCAGAGGTGAAGAAACAGACTGGCGGCACCCATGGCTCAGCTCCTAGTTACAGCTGCTCAGGGCTCCTGCAGACTGAACTGCGAGGCCAGCGGAGAGGCACAGTGGGGCCAGCGTGGCCATATGCCACCACATCCTCAGAAGTGTTCATCAGGTTACTTGGCCATGGCTGCCCAGCACACCACAGCCATCTCCCCGAAAGCTCACTCCCCAGGTCCGTTTCCCTCTTCATTGCTGTCCTAACTTCAATTATCTCCTTTTCTGCTTTTTATAAAATACATAACCTCTCTGAGTATCTCATCAAAGACCCAGTTTCGTAGGCGTGAGTATTTACAGTGTGACTCCATTTAGATCTTCCACCAGCACCTCAAATCCATCCCCTCCAAAACCCTACAGGCTCTCATTCCAAGGTCTGCTTTCTGTCAAGGCCACAGGCATTAAACCAGCCAGGCTTCAAGTCACTTTGTGGTCCTTGCTCTTTCATTCTTCGTTCCAAGCTCTGCCCATATGCACTGCTCTTTATGTTTGTTGACCTTTCCGTACCCATAGCCCCCACTGTCCCGGTCTGGACTCTTCTTTCTCATCCCGTTTATTATAATTATCTAATTGGTCTCTTAAGCTCCCTCTGTCTCCCTGTCTCAGTTAATCCTGCTGTGATTCATCTTCTAGAAGGACTGAGCATTTATTACTTTTTCCCACATTTTCCCTTAAGAATACAGACTAATCGGGCACCTGGGTGTCTCAGTTGGTTAAGTGACTGCCTTCGGCTCAGGTCATGATCCTGGAGTCCCGGGATCGAGTCCCGCATCAGGCTCCCTGCTCAGCAGGGAGTCTGCTCCTCCCTCTGACCCTACCCCCTGGTGCTCTCTCTCTCTCAAATAAATAAATAAAAAATAAAATAAAATAAAATAAAAAGAATACAGACTAATCTTCCATTACCTATTAAAGCTGACCTCAGTCTCTCAATTGCAGGCCATTCCCTGCAGCCCATGGTCAATGCCAGCAAAAAGCAGACCATCATCAGATGTTTATGGACTCCCGAAACTTACAGAAAGAATTTCCCCCATCAGCACGGGACAGCAGACTTCCTAATCAATGCTACTTCTACACTTGACAAGTAGAGTCGAGAGACAGGAGCATGGTATCTCGCCACTGATTACAACTGCAGTTTGGATTCCAAGCCTTCCAAAGCAGCCCCAAGTTCTCCTTCTAACCAAGCCTCTCCTGCTCCCTGACCTCTTGCTGTCTCCTCCACCGCACCTTTGCACATATAATTTCCCACCCACAGGCTACCCTGCTTTCTCTTCATCCATCTTTAATATCATGAGACCTCTGTGAGGAGTCAAGACTGCAAAGACTCTGACTGCATTTTTCCCACTGCCTCGTCTCCAAAAAATTTACTGTGTAAGTATACAAGAAAATGTTCAGGCCCTCTTTCAGATCCTTAATGAGAGTTACCATAAACTCCATCCTCAACAGCAAAGAAAACAGAGATTATTAAATAAGATGAGGTTATCAGGGAGCTGGCTGGTCTGTTCATGCTTTGAATGATCCCTTCCACATATCAACCAGACTTGAATTCAAAATCAACAAAATTGCAACTACTGCACACTACTGACCTTTAAAAACACAATCTAGGAGCTGTAAATGTACATATAAAATACGCATATGTGTTGCACTTCTTTTGGGGTCAATATAACAATGCTCTTCTTTGTTGGGTGCTGTCACTCTAAAATCCTACTTCTTTGTTGTCTGGATTCTTCTAGCACTTAGGTTAGAACTCTGAAGTTATTCTATCCTATATGCATAAGCTAAAAAATTTTAAAACTATTTATAGTAATTTATATGTGTTTGTGCCATCTAAATTCTAACACTTGTCATTCTCGTCTACTGAGTGATATATAAATGTATGAAGATTTAATAACGATCTAATTTTCGTGTTATTAAAGAATCAAAGCAAGACTCAGATGGGGAACAACATTACATAAGCAGGACTTAGATCCAGCGAATTTGTATATTTCTTATGAATAAATCTCACGATTCATGGTCCCATTTTATGCCAAAAAACCGACAGGCTGACTAAATATTTCTCTGAAATTTCTAAGAACCAATATTCTAGTATTGGACGGTAACTTCCAAGGGTAAGCTCTGTTCTTCTTTTAATGTAATCAAACACGCATGTTAAACTTTAGTTGTTACTTAAGAAGGACTTCACTCAGCATATGTGCACCCTAAGAATTCACAATTGCATACACACACCAGGACGTTTCCTTCCATCCACAGTCAGGCCATGAACTGACTTGAATTCCCTTTAAGCCTCTGATTCCTTCAGTCCCACCTTTTTCTCTCACTAGAATTGAAGTTCCATGAGAACAAGGAGTTTTGTCTGATTTGTTCTCGATTGTTTTCTTAACACTCAGGAAAGTGCCAGTTAGGTAGCAGGTGCTCAATCAATATTTCTTGAATGAATGCTTTATTTCCTCAAACCAAATAATGAATAGTAGGCATGTTACTGTACTTAAGTCTAAAAAAATCCGTATGTATTCTAAAAAGAAATCCTTGTGACAGTAAAAAAACAAAGACTTGCAAATAATGAATGGATTACCTTCTCAGGGGGTGCAGTTGCCACTAAAACCAGAAGAGAAGAAGACATTAGTACAATTTAAGTCAATTCACCGCATAATAGTTAAATTTTTAAAAAGCGATAAAAGTCCACTGCCACTCCAAAAGGATTAAGAATCAAACAAAATCAAATGCAGAATTACGGTCATCTACCATTTTGGAGAATTTTACACCTGACCAAAAGACAAACTCTCCATGCTGTATCATTCCTTAGCTACAAAAGTTCAGGTAGATGTGATAAAATTCTTTCCAACTCCCTCATTAATTGAAAAGGTTAAAGGAAACAATACTTTCTGGTACATTATTTTATGTCTAATCTCAATTTTATGGAACTTCCCACATCAAAAAAGCATTTTCATTAATTGGCCACATACTTATCCTTAACATAATATATAATACTTGATGTTAATGTTAAAAAAGAAAGCCACTTATTTCAATAAGAGATCTAAGACCGGGTACTGTACTCCTAATATTTATTGAAGCCCTGTGAGCATCATATGATAAGCTAACTAAATTAGAGGGAAAGAAATCACAAGCCAATACAACCTAATTAGAGATTAGCATCAATATGTTGAACAGATTAAATATTACACAGTCATAACATTATTGTGAAGCAGTGGGACTGGTTATGCCTTTGGATTTAGAAAGACTTGCTTTTCATTAATCAGTCCTTAATATTAGTCCTCAAGCTTATGATTAACAATTACTGGGGTTTTCCTCATTAGTCATCATCCCCATAAACATCAGTGTTCAGTGTCAGTAGATGCCTAACTTCCAAAAGCAATCAGGACACCAGATAGCGTATCACTGCTGCTATATTCTTGTGGTTGGAAAAGTCAACGGTCTGTCCTGTGCAACCCACCAAAGAAGTCTTGAGGCAGAAGCTGGACCAGAGCCCATTTCCTCCTGCCCGTGCAGAGTATGAGTAGTTGCAAACATCTGGCCATGATACCCTTAGTGTAGAGGAGCAAACCGGTCAATACTGTCAATTCTAGGGGAGGTCCTCCCTGCTCTGCCTAACAAGAAGGGCCACAAGTGGGAGAGTGAAATAAAACAGGCCAGAACACAGAAAGATTCAGAGCCCTGGAAAAAGACCTCTCTAGAAGGCAGCTTGGCCAAGTTCCTGACTCTCCACTAACCTAGATACCTTCTCTCCTCACAGAACCCATAAATGGGCACCTTAAATTCCGACCCGATAAACTGTGAGAAGCCAACAGGAGCTTCATTAAAGAAAATATATATTCTGTACAAATCTAAAACGTTTATTCCTTCTATCTGGGAGAAACATTTTTAGGATAATAAAGATATTCAAGGAATTGGAGATGCTGGCTTTTATCTAGAGACAAGGTCAACTGTCTCTAGGCTCCTAGAATATAAAGCCATACTTGCTTTCTCGGAAAAATGTGCTCCTTGGCCCCATTACATACTCTTGATATGACACTTGGCAAGCCATGTTCCCTCTCTAGGTCTCAGGCTTCTCAGAAAATCAATGAAAGGACTGTGCGAGGCGATTTCCAAGATCCCTTCGATGGATTCTCCTGTCCTCCTCCTCGGGCTCCCATCATCCCTGACTGTCTGTTGCCCTCTATTTCATGGAAGCTCAGTCAATGCTTTAACTTAAGTCTGTGGATTCCACTTTGTAAAGTACATAACTATTTATTAAATGGCCCTCTAGACATAGAAATGAATTAAGGCTATTCCTTAAATGATCTGAATTACCCTTCAGGAATAAACACCAAGAAATAGTAGCCCCCAGCATGTCCTGAGATCACCGTGGAATATCGTTACCTGCTACAAACATATTACTCTACAGAGGCGGTTCTCAATCAGAGGTCATTTTACCCTACAGGGACATTTGGCAGGGTTGGACACCCTTCTGGTTGTAACACCTGGAAGGGGGAGGGTGCTACTGGCATCTAAAAGTTCAAGGCCAAGGAGGGTGCTGAACATCCTACCACGTACAAAGAAGCCCCTCACTAAGAATTATTCTGAAGTATCAACAGTGCTGAGGTTAAAAACCCTGTTCTAGAAGGGTATTAACAGGGAAACCAAAGACACACAAGACCTCCTCAATCTATTTCCACTCTCACCTTCTGGCTCCGCCACTCCTGGCCCGTGTTCCTGGGAGAAGGTCAGGGCCTCCACTGGCTCTTCCTTGGCTGGGAGAGGTGGAGGATGAGTACTTTTAGCAACAGGTTGAGTGTTCTTTGGCTTGACAAATACAGGTCCTTTACCTACATGGTGATGGATTGGCCTGCGTCTATGAACGCCAGAAACCGTATAACCCATTCCACCAGGACAGATTTCCTTAAAAGCAGCTAGATTTGGGATGGGAAAATATTCCTTTTAAAAATCTAAAAGTGCAAACTTATACAGAGGAAAATATCATGATGAGTATTTCTTAATAAATCATCATTAATATAGTTACATTTAAAATTTCAAAAACAGATGCATAATGCTTGAATTTCTGTTAAACTTGCATATTTACAGAAAAAAACCCAACCCTTTCTTTTACTCAACATTTCTCCATCTGTTAATTCCTTATCAATATTATATATATAGCATATATAGCATATAGAGAGCATATATTTATATTATATATATCAGCAACCAATTAGGAGATATCATATATACATTTTCTATATTTAATTTTCTCTATCATATTATATATCACATATATGAAATATATGTAATGTATTAGGAGGTTTTCATGTACAGAAGATACTATATATTTTATATATATTTCATAGGGTATGTGTATAAGATCAGCAAAAACCAGGCTTTCTTCTTTTCCTCCTGCTTCAGTATAATTGCATTAGTTATTAACAAGGAACTCAATAACATCTCTCTAAGCTAGATGACTAGCAAGAAGGTTAAAAGAGAAAAATCAATCACTAGTCAGGGAAATGAGAGGCTGAAATGTTCATAATTTGTTTCCAGTTAAAGAATCCAAAGGACTCAGCCAGAATGGAGCGTATCAGCTGATATGGTGAGGCTGGTGAAGAAGGACTGAAAAGGGGAGTGTTTTTGAAGAGAGAGTCTCAGGAAGTGAGAAGGAATCCAGCAAAGTAAGACATACTAAAGGGATGATGGATAAAAGTCAAGAACAACAGGACATGCCAAGTCAGAATGGAGTTATTTTCAAAAAAAGGGATGAGTAGGCAACAGCCTGATCTTGACCAGCTGGCTTAATTATCCAGAGGACAAGGAGATGTTCTGTGCCCTGAGACTGCTATCCTTGCCAGGAAAGTGGTCTTGCCTGTTTTAAAAAAAAAAAAAAATGTAGACTGGGCCCATCAGATTTGCTAACCTCCACTGCATCATCTCCAGGAATAAGTAAAGGAGAAGGACAGGGGTGGTAAGGCAGTGTGTGGCCTGAGAAGGAAAATCCACCTAATCCCTTTGGTGTTGCTACTGGAGGCAAGTTACCAAAGGCAGACACTAAGGAGCTTATGGTCAACTTTTTTATTTCTACTTTTCAAATTGGAAGTAAAATAAGTCATTTCTAACTTCTACTCAACAAGAGATTGCCTATTGAATGTTCTGGACCTAAAATTAGTTCTCAATAAAAAGGAAACTCTAAAATTCTCCTTGAAGCATGCTAAAACATTGTTTTTCTAAGGATCACACATTAAATGGTAGAACCTCATTCTTAAATTTAACTATGTAATACAATTCTTACTTGAAAGAACAGACGTTTCCAGAAGAAAACATGTTTTCCTGTCAAATATTTGCAGTATTAATGAATAAATGTGAAAATCACCATATAACCAAAAATTGGGTAAGTACAAAAAGTTTGTCTCCAACGTTATTTTCAAATTTAGTTACTGGATGTTATGAAGGAATCGCCCTGTGTTATATTCACCATCTTGATTTATGTTTCATGTAAGAGTTACAAAGCTATTAAAATTGAACTTGAAGAGAAATGGGTCTATAAATTATGAAGGTCATTTATTTCATGGATTATTACCTTTTAATCACTAGTAGTTCAGATCCCACAGGGGGATACTAGGCCCTTTTGAAGGTGTCCAAATTTATACAGTCTACTAAAATACCATCAACATTATACTATCCTCTGCCTTACCAATTCTTTCTGATCTTAACCACCAACAAAGGTGGATTATGAGATTTAAATTTATACTTAAACCTTGTCTGCTGCTAAGTTACAGCTTTGAGACATTCAGCAGTCCTGTGAGAGTTGATGCACTTCTCTAGGTGGGAAGCTCTTTCAAATAAGCACCTGATGAGACTTTTTATGGCCATCACATGCCCGTGAAATAGGGACCACTCCTCCTTTGATAATACCATGCCTGGAATTTGCAGGGTGTGTTTCTTTCTCTTCCACTTAATTCTGCTTGATCCTGCTTGAGAAGTTGAGGACTCCTTGGTAGAAGTAAGGCACTGAGAGAAATATATTTATCCTTTCAGGGCATTAGGCAAATATGTACCAAACTAAAGCATAAAGAATAATCAACTTCCATTAATATGCTGACTTGGAAGTTCCTCAGTGCACTGTCAGGATCTGCCCTTGAGTTATTAATCTTCACAGCACAAATTCAATCATGAAGATAATTCCCTCCATTTCCAAGTGGAGAAAGTGACGAACACATGTTCAACCAGTGAGTGAGGGAGTCAACCCGCACAGGGGCTCGCGGCCATGCACGTGACACGTGGCCAGTCGTTAAGACAGCACACGGCCCATCTGGTCTCTTCACACTTTTAAACACCAGACTTAGGGTCCCACAAAGTAATGGCTTTTCTTAACATTCAAGAGTAAGTCTCATGTTACACAGAAACAGGAAAATCTCTCTTCCACTGATTCAACCTTCTATGGTCATGGTTTGTACAAAACTGATAAAAATACACTGTATTATTTACATGTCAATTAAAAGTTGGAAACCAAAAAGAACGCAAACTGCCAAAGTCCTCCTGTGTCCTTGTGTGGCTGGGAAGGAATATGAGCGTACAGCGGGTCATGTCTTACCTGTGCCTGGAAGGGGACATTTCTCACAGTGTGGGCCCCAGGCCTTGCCCACACTACAACAGCAGAGCTGCTTGGTGAGGTGAACAGACAGAGGGTGCATACACTGCCTTCCGGAACTGACAAGACGATAACAGGGCCCTTTCTCTTCAGAGATCACAGGGGTATCCGCTGAAGCAGAAAGATAAGGCCTGATGTCACCCAAGAAACAACAAAAGACTACATCGACTTTTCTTGGCATAGTAAAACGAACCTTAAAGTCTGGATTAGACACCATACTTCAGAATAAATTTGTGTAGATTCGGGGCATCACCCTTCCTGATTTAGAGTCGTTTACCAAATACGTTTTAGGTTTTAGAATCAGGGCCCCAAGCGTCCCTGTCCCTATCTGGTCCCTTCTTCCATTCTAGCAAGCATTAGATCAGGTATGTGTGCATGATGTAAAAAGAAACCATTTCAACCAAAGTCAACTGCCCAACGAAACCTAGGTACGTATTATCAAAATCACTACACCATTTATTTTCTTGTATTTAGCCATAACAGAGGTAGTTCTAGGGCAGAGTTTGGTGAGCAACCAGGCACTGTGAACATCGGGAACTCAACATAGTTGATGCTGAAAGCCAGCTGCTGCCCTTCTTAAGGACAGTGAGAGCTTGCAGGGCCTCGCTGTAGGCCAGTCAACAGCGGATGGGAGGCAGGGAGCAGCTTCTGACCTGCCAGGTTATACAAGACGGCACACCAGAGAAGGCAACAATGTGTTCAGTCCCTTAGAAAACACACAAAAACACACCAGCCCATAATCATGCAAGACCTAACTCCTATTCCTGATGCTTCTATTCTAAGTTTAGTAGATAAGACTTCACTAATCCAACAGCTAGACACTCTACTGAGCACACAAGGCAGTTATGAGGATAAGATACAGCCCTGCCTTTGAGAAGTTCATTTTCTAATGTAAAGGTGAGCCAGCTCTAGGCCAAGTAAAGTGCTGAACAGACCAAGCTTGATGGTCTCCCCCTTGTCCCTTCTTCCATCCCAACCAAAGTTCTTCTCCACTGTATCACTGTCCAGATGAGGTTTTTCCAATTTGCCTTTCCCTTAACCAATTCCTCTAGCTCCTGTTGCTTCCAAAGTCACCTTCCCTTCCTGCTCAGATCTCAATTTTCAATCATTCTCAAAGGACTGACATCTTAGTTAGATGCTCTAAGAAACAATCTGATCAAATTAAGGTACTACAACACAGTGAGAAGAGCAAAGGTTTATAGAGCCAGACAGACCTGGATTCTCATGGGACGTCTACCACTTGCCAGTAAGACAACCTATAGAAGTCACTGGGGCTGTGATGGTTGACTGGGATCTTTCAGCTTGGCTAGGCCACAGCAAGTAGGTATTTGGTCAAATACAGGTCTGAAAGTTGCTCGGAAGGTATGTTTTACATGAGATAAACATTTATATTGGTAGACTTTGAGTAAAACAGATGATCTCCAGAGTGTGTGTGGGCCTCATCCTAATAGTGGAAAGACATTAAGAGGAAAAAGACTGAACTCTCCTGGAGAAGAGGGAATTTTGCCAGCGGACTGCCTTCAGACCCACGCTGTAACACTAACTCTTCCCTTCGTCTCCAGGATACAGCCTACTGTGCGGATCCTGGACTTGCCAACCTCTGCAATCATGTGAGTCAATTCCCTTAAAACCTCTCTCTCTACACACACACGAGCATCCACACACACAGGCCTACTGGTTCTGTTTCTTTGGAAAGAACCTTAATACACTGGGTGAGCTTCAACATCCCTCACCTATAAATAATAGGCTCAATGTGCAGATTAGAAATAGCATATGCTCATAAACCTTTGGTACAGAGTAGACACAAAATACATGTCAGCCACTCTTTTATTACAAGTACATATCTCCATCCTCTCAATGGGTGTTTGTACACAACTTGATCGCTCCTTAGTGGCAGCATTTGAACAAAGTGAAGATATTCAAAAACAGTTATTATTGGTGAGTAGGAGCATGGAAACAGGGGATTGAGGGGAGCAGGGGAGACCTTCCCGAAGCCTCAGAGCTTATGCAGTTAGTATGTCTAATAAGACCAGTTTTGTCCAGGGCTACTAAAAAAGTGCTCAGAGGGACAAGTTTGAGTCTTTTCCTCTCCCTTCTCCCACTTACTTCCTGGAATCTTAAGAACATATACTTAGTTCTAGTATAATCAGCTCAGAAGGGATTCTACTAAAAAAAAAAATTCCTCTCCAAATTATTTGGAACTTACAACACATATTTCCATAGAAACAATGTCAGGCCATCTCACAGGATCCCATCTACACATGGCAGGGCTTAATTATACCACTAACTACACTAATGTTTGTTCTAGATCCCTGGAACAAGGGCCATTCAGAGCAGAGCAGACGGTTTCCTCAAATCCATGACACTGGATAATGGTGACACTGACTCGCTTCCACTTAATTCTCCACCCTCACTTCTTCGTATCCCCCTCGCCCGCATGCCCAGGCAAGTGATACTATATAGGCACCATCCTTTTTACACTCAAAGTGCCCCCTCCATCCAAGGACTCTACTTTGAAGAAACCTCCTACCATGCCTGTCCCCAAAATTAAACCAAAACTCCACATCAGCAATTCAGTGTTTTAAGGGATTACTATGTGCACATGTGTGAATTTTAAGAAATTGCTTGTTAATTAAAGTGAGTTGATGGTTGTTGAGATCTTGTGAACTACACACACACACACACAATTTTGGGCATTTTATCATCTGGAGAATAAAGATAGAAGTCTAGTGAGCTAATTCTTTCTTTCTAAACAAATCATCTATAGACTTTTGTCTTCCCATCAGACAGCTTCCAAAGCATTTCAAATGGGGGTTTTTAGGGGAGTAAGAGAATCACTGGCTTACAGTCATCAAGTCAATTGTTGGTGAGCATGGGTGTGTCAGACCATGTTCTAACTAGACATGCCTCACCCCAACTACATATAAGAACAAGAAACTAATAAAAAAAAAAATACACTCCTTCAAAGATGGAAGACAACCAAGAAGGAAGCCATTGAAAAGGTCTAGCCTATATACCTCAGTTTTACTGGTGCTCCCATGATTCAAATTTTCTTTGATCTACAACTATGTGGAGGGAAAAGTGTTCATTTATGCCTCAGATTTCTAATAGGGTGTGCCTTTTTAAGCCACTCCTATTTTAACACCTACATTACCTGTCATTCTTATATCATTTCCAATCTCTCACATGGCAATTCCACTTATCTCTGGCATTTTCACATTCTAGTCAACATGACATGTAAATCCAGAAACAATATGCTCTGAATTATGAAGTTGAGTATCTTTAGCCACAGATTGGAAGGCTAGCCATGAGGGGTAATTCATTATACACTACATCATTTATTATTTTAAAATATGGCACACATGATCATATATTCTCGAGTCATAAGGTTTTATGCTATGCTAAAAGAAATAGTATTGCCAAAAGATTTCTAAAGATTAAGTGGAAATGGGTATGGGATAGAGTACTGAGGATCCTATATGTAGACACACTGAAACAGTGGTTTTGGCAGATTATATTTTTGCAAGATGCATTGCTACGATTAAGGTGGGAAGATTCAGGTACTCTCTATAGATGGAAACACATTTCAAGAGTGTAAAACCTACTGGAAATGCCACATCAGTCAGGAACATAAATCATTTTTCTTAGCTAGAGATAGAGAAATCCCCAAAAGTAATAAACATATAGCTCCATACCCTCATCTTGAATCATCACTATATAGCCAATGCTGATGATGCCCCACTTACAAAGGACAGTATGAAGGAAAGATGCTATGGTTCTCTTATTTGGGTTCCCCAGTAGTGTATCAAGCAACTTAATTATAGGGCTATACAATAAATTCTGATCATACTTTCAAAGACATCTTTCACACATGAATGACAAGTGTCATTAAGCAGATATAAATTAATCTGGCACTTAGAGGAAGCTAAAAAAATATAGAAGACCTAAGAAGATGGCATATAGCTAGCCTGTTTTCAATGCCCCCTGCACCAACACCCCCAATATCTTCATTCAGCTCTTGGATGAATTCCACATCAGACTTTCATCTCTTTAAGCTTAAAACCCCTGTGGGAGGAGTGTTGGGAGGCAGGTAAAGTGTTGATGAGGAGTCTGAGAGATGAATTTGCTGAAAGAAGAGCCACCAGGCACCCTTTCTGGGAAACGGGCTATTAAATTCTGGGAGAACTAAAATAAAAGAAACCATGATTCTAGAGCCAGTGCAGAGTTACATCATCTATTCTATTCTGTGGCGAGTAAGACTAAACAACAGCTCTCTTTAAATAAAGGACTCGCTCCCATCAATTCAGACTAGTTTCTTCTTCCTGATCCAAGGCTCAGCTTGTGGAGTAAGATCCAGCTTCAAACGTGGGCTTTACCACTTAAAGGCTGTGTGACCTTTGGCAAGATACTTATTAACCCCTCCAAGCCTCCATTTCTTTATTCTAAAATAGAACAGCAACATAAACTTCATGGATGTCTTGGAAGTATTTTATCTGGTAATGCGCACCAAGTGCTTAGTGCCTGGCACTTATGAAATGCACAATAAAGATGCTGACATTGCTGCCCTGGTTCTGGCTGTTACTGTTAGGTGGGGGCAAACACTTTGCAGAGACATGTCTGTCTAGCCCCCAAGCCACGATGCTGCAAGACCGCTAAGTGAGGGAAGTGAGAGACCGCAGAGGAGGTGGAAAGACGAGAGAAGGTGTAAGACAGATTACAAAGATTAACGACTTTCTTGGAGAAAAGGAGAGGACAGAGTCAAAAGTGGCAGAGGAGCTCCCAGCCTGCCTGCCTGGAAAATGGTGTCACATGCACAGACCCACTACGTCAGGAAGGAAAGGGGGAAAGGAGGAGGCCTAGCAGTCATTTACCCCATCGGCTGTGTCAAACAAGGATCTAGAACTGTGCTGTCCGATACATTAACGCCCAGCCACATGTTGCTACTTCAATAAAATTTCAATGAAATACAATTTAAAATTCAATTTGTCAGTCACACTGCCCACATGGGACTAGCACCTGCTACATCAGAGAGCACAGATACAGAACATTCCCATCATCACACAAAGTCCTATTGGACGGTGTTGATACAGCCCGAGAGTAAGCAAACTCTTTCTGTAAAAGTCAAAATAATAAAGAGATATTTTAGACCTTGTGAGCCCTACAGTCTCTGCGGCAACTTCCCAACTCTGCCATCATGGCACTAAAGCAACACTAGACAATATGTAAATGAATGGACATGGCTGTGTTCCAATAAAACTTTATTTACAGAAACAGACAGTGGAACAGATTTGGCCCATGAGCTGTATCTTGCCAACCCCTGATCTAGGACCCTAAACTTGGAGGCACAAAACCCAGTTTTAAATCTCAAGAGTCCCTGGGGTGCCTGTGGTGCAGTCAGTTAAGCTTCCGACTCTTGGTTTTGGCTCAGGTCCTGATATCAGGGTCGTTGAGATGGAGCCCCATGTCCTGCTTCATGCTCAGCATGGAGTCTGCTTGAGATTCTCTCCCCCTCCCCCTCCTCCCTCTCGTGCTTGTGCACTCGCTCTCTTTCTCTCTCTCAAAAATAAATAAATCTTTAAATCGCAAGAGTCGCTTTACTAGCTGTATGATCTTAAGAAGTTGTGTAAGGTCCCCAAGCTTCAGTTACGTAATGCATAAAATGAGAATAATACATATCTCATTAAGATGTTAGATATGATATGATCTAACATCTAATACATATCTAATGATATGATATGATTATGCCCAAGATATGATGGGCATAAACATGACTAACTTTTAGAAGGAATGTGTTCTTCATCTCATGATTTCCAGGTTGCTGAGCACATCTCTCCAACCCTCTATTTTTATTTTATTTTATTTTATTTTAAGATTTTATTTATTTATTTGACAGAGAGAGAGATAGCGAGAGCAGGAACACAAGCAGGGGGAGTGGGAGAGGGAGAAGCAGGCTTCCCGCCGAGCAGGGAGCCCGATGTGGGACTCGAACCCAGGACCCTGGGATCATGACCTGAGCCGAAGGCAGACGCTTAACGACTGAGCCACCCAGGCGCCCCAACCCTCTATTTTTAAATTAGCACCCAGGCCATGGGGCAAAAAATGCAATCAAACAGCAAACAGGCCCAGAGATTTTTCATCTGGGCATTTTTCTACCAAACCTATGGACACACCCACTGCAGCTCTCATCCTGGAGCTCCCGAATGCCCAAGAAAATTGCAGCTCAGAAAGTCAGAAAGTTTCCCTATTCCAACTATAAAGGTTATTGTCCTTTTCTTGGATTTGCTCTGACAAATCCTAAAATTTCCCCTTTCCCCATGGAGAGGGAGGAGGAGGTCTGAAGACGCTGCGGCGACATCCGAAGGCACAGACACAGAGGTCTGGGGTAGCAGAGGACAGAGCCCTCCGGCCTTTGTTCTTTGAGCTGTGCTAAGTCAAGGACAGAGAGCGGGCAAGGAGAGAAAGAGAAATGGTTGCAACCTTTGGCCAGAGTCAAGGAATTCTGAGGGTGTTCACTTCAGCGCATCTGAGAACAGGGAGAGCTTCCCATTGCTCCTTGGCCATTGCCAAGTGCCTTTCTTTGCGTTCAGAGTCAGCCACACCTTTTATGGCCTGGCTATGCCCTCAATTCACGCTGCCTGAGCAAATGTGGTCAGTCTCTTCCATTTGCTTACATGCTCTATCCGTGGCTGATAGCTCTCAAAAACAGATACTCCAAACGTTAAGTAACAACTCCTCTCAGTGCCTTTGTGTGTCTGGGCACGTGTGTCTATGTGTGTGCATGCGTGCATGAGTATGTGTGACCTCCAGTCTCCTTCTGCTATTTCCCCATGACTATTAAGGATACCACCATCTTGCCAATATTTTTTCCCTTACTCTGTAAACATCACCTTCTTTCCTGATTCTTCTCAACTGTTTTCAGACTTCTGCCTTGGTCCCCCACCCCCCACCCCAAGCCCTGCATTGATTTCTTCAAAATACAGTTCACAAACAAATCAGGCAGGACTGAACCAAGTCACAAATCCTGAAGGAACTCCACATATCTGTGATGTAACATGTGGTAAATTCAGAGGACAGAGAAATAAATCTGCCACTCAATGCCGATAAAGATCCCAGGTTTTAACTCAAACTCTAAACTGGAACATTTAACTAGCAACAAACCTCTCTTAATACTTATCATTTCAGTTGTTGTAGCTGAACCATAAAACTGAATTATTTATTTTTCAAATAAGAATGAATGGTTGTTTAATAAGTTCAATATTATTTGGGCAATGACAGGGAAAATAAATGCTAAGGAAATGTCTAAGTGTTTCAAAAATCTCATTGGCAGATTTCTACAATCTTATTAAAACCTGGGTGTCTGCCCTTAACTCTAGACATCAGGTCTAGTCAAAGTTCAATAAAACACCTTGCGACCAGCTCTCCAACTTTACCTAACCTGCAGTCTTCAATGTGGTAATTTTAACCAGACTATAAGTCAAATTAAGAGGAAAAAAAAAACCCAAACATTCAAAGCAAATTCTATGTCCAAACTCTGTAAAATCTTTTATGCTTAAAATTATGAAACTATTTAAAATATTTACACATGTAATTCTAATCAGCCAGAAACAATCCCTAAATTATCTGGATATTATCAACAATGTGATTTTTTACCTGAAATTTCCAAATCCTTGTATTAGTTTTCAAACGTACCTTGTATGCAAACATCATTTTATAGTCTAATTTTACCACCCACCAAAAAAGCCCTATAATTAGGTGTCTGTCTGCTTCATGATCAGAATTGTCTGTGAAAGAACACGGAAAAAAGAACTTACGTGCAAAATTTCCTAATCTGCATTTGACAGTTTTTAAAAGAAAATAGTAGTGATTAGTAACAATTTTCCAGAAGACTCTCTGAACTCTTAGAATTTTAAAAGTAATGAATGAGACTGTCATTTTTATTTTACTACATTTGCCCATATTTCATTGTGTCTATGTATCTCAGGGAGAGTTGCACAATTAAAGCAATAGATATCAAGAACATGTCTTAACCAAATACCAAGTTTAAAAATGGAGGCCAGAGGATACAGCTTAATGTATATCAAAGCCACATTAAAAAATAGGCAATAAAAACAAAAACCTATCAGGACAGAAATACAGAATTGCTCTTTAAAATTATCCTAACAGTTTTCTGCCATACATTAATTTACAATGTTTAAGCTTTAATGTATATGGCTTTTAAAAACCTTCAGTGTTTACCTGTTTTGTAATAATGAACACAAGTTCTTTAAAAAGTAAGATAACCTTTAAAAAATCTGCATGTGAGAACTTTCTATCTAAATGTATCCATCTCTGGTCGTCGAGTGATCTGTAGTGATTATACTGGATTAGGTTTTGTGGCTAGAGAGTTTCTTTGGAGACACTATATTTTCTGTATTAATATTAGAACATATGGTTTAATGAAGGATTTTTACCCTTACCAGGTGCAAGAGAAAAACTTAGAGACAACATTTGTAAGGCAAAACACTCTAACTCTGGAGACACATTTTGGTGGTTTTTGAGGACAAGAGAGAGAATCTTAGAAATTAGAACTGAATATAAAATCTGAAATGCAGGGCCTTTATAACTATTTCCTAGACTCTACCAACTAAGCAAGTACAGTGAAACCTCATTAAATCAGACACCAGTGACTCAGAATTTGGACTAATTAAAGGCAGAAGCTGGGACAAAGTTTAACTCAGACTAAATAATGCTTAAAATGCTCACAAAGGAAAAAACTGTTGTTATCTTTCAGGTATGAAAATTTTAAATAACACTTCATCAGAGTTTATTTTCTCAGTGTGCTTCTTCCCTACCTTGAGTTAGAGGTGTTATATTTTTCTGGCTGCAATAAAAATTTATTTTGGACAAAGATCCAAAACAGAGATCTTAGCAGGTCTGCCTCCTTCCAGCTGTCCTTTCAATGAGATTTTCCCACATATTTACAATATTCAGTTGACTGCTGAGTATTTATCTTCTTTTGGATACCCCCTCCTCAAATAAAAAAGAACAATCCAAAATAGGAATAAAAAGTGATCATTACTTACGCACACAACTTGAAAAGGTGGGATCCGGCCCAAATCCCATTTTGCAGGTGCATCTATAGCTGCCCATGGTATTCAAACACTCACCATTAGGGCACACGCCCTGTAGCTGGCATTCATTAATATCTGCAGGAAAACAAATCCTTTTAGAAGTAGTCAAGCCCAGTTGAACAGATTCTGGGTACTTTCTTTTTCACTATAATAATCTCTTAGTGACAGTAAATGAGAGATGTCAGCTTTTAATGCAGCAGGTACAAGTGACCTAAAGTCAAATCAAGCATTCACTGAACATCTACAATTTATATAACAGCTATTTATTATATACCTACGATGTACCTGGTTCTGCTCTAGAAACTAAACACTAGAAATTTACTAGTGAACCAAACTGACAAAGATTCCAGTCCTCACAGTACTTACGTTAATGGGCATTAGGTTTTAGAGATCGTACAGGTAAGGCAAAGACTCTCGCCCTGAAGACACTAGCAATCTAGCTGGACATACAACTACCTACAAATTAAAGAAGTGAAAAGCAGTTGAACTTATCACAATTAGAAGAAAGGTCATCAGCTTGAAGAAGTCAGATTATGAAACTGCCTATGTAGACAGTAAGAGCTGGTGGAGTTAGCTGAAGATAGGGGAGACTAGAGCCTTGAGGAGGGGTTAAGACTTCATCAGGCATCGAGGTCAGGGAGAAGGTGGATGGTCAGATGGATGGATGGATGGGGAGGAAGGGGTGGGTGACCTACATGAATGACCCCAGAGCGTAGGCGCAGAGACTGCAGAAGGGAAGGGGGTTTAGGAAACCCTGAGTCAAACTGTTGGCTGGAAAAGTAGTTTCCGGAAGGTAAACTGTTGGAAAAAGAGCCGGTTAAAGCCAGGCTAGGTTTGGATTCACTTTTACTGAGAACAGGGAGCTATCCTAAATGTTTCTGAGCACAAGGAGGATAGAACCAAAGGAAGGCTCCCGTGAAATTCATCTGGCCAACACATGGCTTGGTGAGAAGAGACCAAAAGTTGATGACTGAAGGAGTAATGCAAGTATGAGATGGGACAAGCCAGGTTGGGACGGTGAGAATGATCAGGAAGGAATTTTTCTTTTGAAAAGAACAATGGGCCAAATGCACAGTGTTTGACTCGCTAGCATAACACTGGAAAGGAACAGAAAGGAGTCGAAGATGCCTGGGAGGCATCTAATCTGGGAAAAGAGGAAAAAACGTTGTTTTTGTGGAAAGTTCTGAGGAAAAAAAAGAGGCAAATGAAAAGACTAGTTTTACACTTGAAGGTCACATAAGGATACCCAAGTATAAAATCCAGCAGCAGTGGCAGATTCAGGAATAAACTAAAGAGACAACATGGCTAGAAATAGAGACTTGAGGTCACCCACACAGGATGATTGCTATGGTCTGAATGTTTGTGTCCCCCCCCAAAATTTAGGTGTTGAAATCATAACCCCCAAGCATAATGGTATTAGTAGGGAGGCCTTTGGGAGGTCCTTAAGCCATGAGGAAGATCCCTAGTCCCTTGCATCATTTGAGGACACAACAGAGATGTCTGCAACCAGAAGAGAGCCCTCACCAGGAGGCGACCATGCTGGCACCTTGACCTTGGACTTCCCAACCTTCAGAACTGTGAGCAGTAAGTATCTGTAGTTTATGAGCTACCCAGTCGTGGTATTCTATTACGGTAGCCCGAATGGGCTATGACACTGATCCAAAGGAAAATCAAAACGATTTGGAAGAGGACAGATAAAAATGTGTGCTTTAAAAAAAAAGATTAGAGAGTCTTTTGTAAAGGTAAGTAATTAAAAATGAAAAACAGAATAGGACAAGTTAAAAGTGAAAAATTAATAGTCATTTCTATTTTTATTCAGGGTGGCTTATGAAGCTTAACCATTAATAGACATGGTTATTAGCATTTCTGTTTCCAATAATGTTTGCTTGCTTCAATCATCAATTCAAATAAAACCTTTATTAATGATTTTAAAATTAATTTTCTAAGTTAAAATTGGACACAATTGGGAGCAAAATATTATTAGCAAAATTGTCACATAATAAGGAAAATACAGCCCTCAATAAATCATTATTTGCTTATATTTCATATTCTAAGTAGCCATTGATTTCTATAATGGACCTATTTTATCAAACACATGCAGTTTTTAATTTCAGTGATAAAACATTTTCAATGACATCCAAATAACAAATTAACACATATATTTGTTCTGTAAGTTTTACAGCTTTCTAACTTGGATCGAGCTGAAAACTAGCACTGCTAGATTACAACCTGGCACAGCATATGGTCCAGGACCTGATCATCTCATTCTTTATCAGAGTGTACATTGTGCTGTAATACACACTTATCCACAGCATCTAATTGAAAACTATTCCCCTATCACTCATTCTCCTTAAGAAAACCACCATGAAGGACCAGGAAGAATGCCAAGTGCAGTTAGGGCTACACGGTACAAGTAAAGCCCTTATCATACGTCCCAACTTAAACCTCAAATTTGGGTAACCAGCCAGTTGTGGTCAAAAAGGCTGAACAAAATCTGCACTCTTCTGTTTTCCCTCATGTCCCCACTTGCCTGTGATTTATGAGCCTTCCTCTCTCAGTGATCTGTACTCCTGCTCATTGGTTGCACCCCTTTATATCCCATGTTTACCTCTTGGGATGCAAAATTTTCCCTCGACTGGAGTTTTCTATGAAGTGGGGTACCAGCCTTGCTTCTGGCTGCCAGGTTAAGATGAAGGTTTTCTGCTCCAATGCATAAATATCTGATGTACAAACACTTGCTTGTGTCCTCTTCCAACAGCCCCTCTTTTGACTCTCCTCAACATCGCCCACTGCTTCAACCATGATGCCATGGGAATGGAGGACAGGAATTAAGACTTAAAAAAAAAACCACTATGGCTATAGACAGGAATAGAAAAATTCAAAAAGAAGGGGAATCATGCATTTCCTACTAGCTATACCTTTATCAGCTTGTGCCACCACCACTAAGTAGCAACACCACCACCCCTAATTTTGGCCCTAGAAGCATGCAACTTTCTACATCACTTTCTTGGCTTCCAGAAAAACTATTTCCTTTGACTCAATTTATTTTTTAACCTAGTCTCCAAAATACCATAAATTAGAGATTAAATTTCCAAGTTCCTTCCTAATTTATATGTATCAATCTTAAATATACAGCTACATGAACTTTTACACATACTTATGTATACATATATCCACGTGTGCACACGTACAGAACTGAGTAATCACCAAACAGACTGTGATTTGGAAAGTTTCCACTGCCTAAGAGGGCTCCTTTACTGCCCTTTCCCATCAACATCTCTGCCCCCACAGGTAACTACTATCATCCATTAGTCCGCCCTGTTCTTCTACTTCATATAAAGGGAATCCTATTGTTCTTTTGCCTGACTTTTACTCATTATTATGCCTGTTGCATGCAGCAATTCATTCTTTTACTGCTGTTATATTTTATTGTGTGAGGATGTCAAAATTAATTTATCCATGCAACTGCTGATTGACATTTGGGTTAGTCCCAATTTTTGGCTATCAGTAACAATGCTTCTGTGAACATTCTTATATAGACGTGTTTTGGTAGGCCAAGGTACTCATTACTCTCCTGTATGTATCTAGGAGTAGAATTTCTGACTCACTAGAGAAGACTCATGATTGCTTTAATAAATAATCACATAGTTATCCAAAGTGGTTATGCCAATTTCCATCCAACTGTTCTGCATCCTCGCCAAATTATTGTCGGTCTTTTTCACTGTAGCCATTCTGGTGGGATTGTAGTGTTCTTTCACTGTGGTTTTAATTTGCACTAATTTTTCATATATTTATTGGTCATCTTAATACCAAAACATTCTCTTCTAAAATGCAAATATCTAGGGAATGCTGTAGGTCAGTAAGATTGCTTCCCTTTTGGTAGGGAGATCAGTTGGTGATTCTCAAAGGGGGAAGGGTGTGTGCTTGTCTACAGGACATTCTGGGTTGTCACAAGGACTGGAGAACCCTGAGAGTAGATACTAGGGAGCTTAGCATTCCGAAAAGTGTAGGTAGTTCCCCTTGACAAAGAATTGCTCAGCCAAGATGAATCATGAGAGACGATGGACTCTGAAAAACAAACTGAAGGTTCTAGAGGGGAGGGGGTGGGAGGATGGGTTAGCCTGATGATGGGTATTAAAGAGGGCACGTATTGCATGGAGCACTGGGTGTTATACACAAACAATGAATCATGGAACACTACATCAAAAACTAAAGATGTAATGTATGGTGATTAACATAACAATAAAAAATTTTAAAAAAAAGAATGAGATGTATAACAAATTTTCATGCAGAATCAGTACCACTATAAACATCTGAGCTTTGATGGAGCCATGAACATCAGATCTACATATTACATCTTTGACAAAGAAGAGTTAAAAGTAATTTCACTTCATTGGCTGTAATCTATTTTATTAGCACCCAAGAGCCTTTTCTTAATGGGAGTTCCAGGAGATGGGTGATTGATTTCAGTAAAGAAATCACTGACATGAAGAGGTTCTTTTGATGGAAAAGATAGATTGGTTGTTATTTCATAAGGATAAGGAACACCTGGATCTTAGTTTAGAAGGTAATTGAAAAAGTCATCTCGCATAGTGAACTATGTATAGCAAAGGTAATTCTTTTGGTCCCTAAAAGTACCTGGAGAGTATTAAGTTTGGCCTGTGGATATAGGTATCTGCAGGTATTGGGAGTTCACATGGCTGGTGACCTGAGCTAAATTTTCATAGCATGTAAAATATATAATAAATGACAGAATAAAAAAAATGTTTGAAACTGAACATAGGGGAAGGAAGAAAAAGAAAAAAGAGGGAGGCTAGCCATAAGAGACTGTTAACGATAGAGAACAAACTGCAGGTTGATGAAGAGAAGTGGGCAGGGGATGGGCTAAATGGGTGATGGGTATTAAGGAACGCACTTGTGATGAGCACTGGGTTTTATATGTAAGTGATGAATCACTGACTTCTACTCCTGAAACCAATATTACATTATATGTAAACTATTTAGAATTTAAATAAAAACTTGGGGAAAAAAAAGCATAAAAAAAAAAAAAGAATTGCTCAGCCAGAAATGTCTAC